AAGCAAACTGGGGACCTCGGTCTGATATGACCTTGGCCGGGGCCCCATGATGCTTGAACACATCGCGGATGTACAGGTCTGCCGCACCTTCTGCCGTCAGGGTCTCATGACAGGCCGAGAAGTGGACCTGCTTGGTAAAGCGGTCGGCGGTGACCAGGATCGAGTCAAATCCATCAGACTTCGGCAAGCCAACGATCATGTCGGTCGTGATGATCTGCCATGGGCGCTTGGGGATCTCATTCGGCTTCAGCGGACCCTGGGGTTTGGCTGGGAATGTCTTTGTACGGTTGCACACGTCGCAGGTGCTTACGTACTCATTGACGAATTTAGACATTCCTGGCCACCAGTAATTCCGCGACACGAGCTCCAGGGTTTTGGCACGGCCGCCATGACCGGCAATCGGCGAGTCGTGGTGGATCTTGACTATATCCCACCGGAGCTCTGCGTTTTTTGGGACGTACACGCATCCGCGGAACAGCAGAAGCCCTTGTTCGGCATTCCACTCCTCAAAACCCCTTTGCAGCCGGGGCGGCCCGAGGTCCTGTACTTTTTCAAGTGCCTCGGCCACCTCCCGATCCTTATCCGAACACTCCCTAATGCGCTTCAGAAGCGACTGATCGGCCGTTACCGAGGCATGGCCGCGCCTGGCGGAGGCGATGCGGAAGCGCTCTGGTTTGAGAACCACCTGATCGGTGTTATCGTCCTCATCACCGATCTGATGGTCTGATCGACGTGACAGGCCATCAGCCTTTCCATTGGACGTCCCGGCTTTATGCGTGATGCAGAAGTCAAAGCGCGCTAGGAACAGCGACCATCGCGCTTGACGACGCGTGAGGTGCTGGGACGTGCGCCAGTATTCGAGGTTCTTGTGATCAGTGACGATCTCGAACTGATTGGGCAGACCCTCGAGATAATGGCGCCAATCGTCTAGTGCCTCAATGATCGCGAGCATCTCCTTATCGTAGATCTCATAGTTACGCTGGGCTGGGTCCATAGCGTGAGATCGGTAGGCGATAGGGTGCCATTTGCCATCATCTTGCTTCTGCATCAATACGCCGCTGGTGGCATAGCCTGAGGCATCAACCTCAATGCGCGTCTCCCGATTAGGATCGTACAGCGCCAAGACTGGAGTCGTCGCAAAGAGCCGCTTGAGCTCGTCGAAGGCGTGCTGCTCTTCCTCACCCCAATGCCATGGGTCGTTCCCTGTGAGCCGGTCGAGTGGTCGCGAGATCTTAGCAAAGTCCTTTATGAAGCGGCGGTAGAAATTGGAGAACCCCCGGAACTCCTGAACGTCTTTTTTGTTCCGGGGCACCGGTGATACGACCTACGAAACCCTAACCCCTAACCTGGGTGCGACCTAAAGGGACTAGAGAGACGGATTATAGTCTAATGAGAGGGGAGTTAGCAGCAAGGTGTCCCGCGGTTCGAGTGAACACGAGAAACGCCTTCGGAAAAGGCTACAAACGCTAGGGAAGGTACGAGGTGGCTTCAACACGTCGTCAAAGCTACTCGGAGGCTGGGAGTGGTTAGTGGAGACGATCGAAGCTCGGCAGAGCTCTTCGACGTATCGTAGAGAGAAGGGACACGATTCGATAGGGGGGACTTAACTAGGACGCGGTTCGAGGTGCAACGCAGTTCTTCAACAATAGTCGAAGTCGAAAGGTTCGTCG